CCAGAGTTGGGAGCCCTACAGATGAAAGATATTTTGAAAGCTTCCAAGGCTTGCTTTTTTCCTTCAGAGACCTCAAAGCATTGGAGTAATTTGGGAACTATTTCATCCGCTTTGTGTCGGCACCAAAATATGTATTTAAGGAGCAAATGCAGGACTATAGAAGGCCCGGGTTACTGAGAAATGCTTTGGGACAAATTATTTCTGTGGTTATTAGTAGAGCTTAATAAATAAATAAATAAATAGAAGGGACAAGACTAGTGACAAAACTAGGCTGCCAGCTGAATGAGTTGCTAATAAGATACAGGGTGGAAATTCTTATATCCCTATGCTATGGACTGAACACTGTTTTCCTCTGTCCTAGTTTTGCTAGGAATTCTTACTTTCCAGGCAGATCTGTGTTTTAGTTTTGTTCTTGCTTTTAATCAGTGTGCTTTTTTACATGGGAAGTACCTTGATGTGTCTGGATTTCAGTTGTATTAAAAACCTGCATGTATATTGCAACAGACATTATTCTAGAGCTCAACTCTAATGTCTCTTGTCATCAGTGTGTATGATTTTTGTAGCTTTCAAAATCTGAGAGCTCCATGGCTCCATGTTGGTTTGAATGTTGCCTTAGAGCACGCCAGAAGTCTTGCAACTATTGTAAGTAGTCAGTGTTTTAGGAGTGTATACCACAGCTCTTTTCAAGACAGTTACTTGAAAATCTAGTTTAGAGGCTAGGAAGGTAACAGAGAAAATGAAAATGTTCTTATCAGATGTTTTACTGCTTTTTACTAACTCTAGCCTAGAAAATGCTTGATTGATTTTTGCTTAGGAAGTGTTTTACTACTTTTTATTCATTTAAAAATAAAACCACAGCTATCAACAGGCCAAATATAAAAGTGGTGATAGAAAGAATCATTCGTGCATGGTATGAGAGAGAAGTAGATACTTCTTAAGGAATATACTTTATCTTCCTTCAACTAAGAGTGGTAGATTAAACATAGTTAGCAAGCAGTACACCAATGTCTTACCCGGGGCTACAGCTGTCATCCTGGCTGCTCTGAGCTTTCACACTTCTAATAACTGGGAAGAGATTTTTAAAAGTAAGTTTCTTGATGAAGAAATACAGACATTTCTCCTCTTTTTTTACAACTAATCAGAAGGGGAAAGTCAGAAGCAGCAGCATGATTTCAGTCTTTTCACCATATGATGTATCATAAAGCTAATGAAGCACAAAGATCACAAAAAGGAGAGCATAAAATCTACATGAAAAAAAAAAAAAAAAAAAAACAGAAGAAAAGAACAAATTTTAATTGCACATCTTTTACCCAGACTTTCTCACTAATAGTTTAAATTTCTTGGAATTTGTATCCACTCAGATACCAGCTTAGGCATGTGTCTGAAAAGGAGCGGGGAAGAAAGTGTGAAGATTCATATGAGCTATAAATCCACTTGTGCAGCAATGCAGAAAAGCTGCTTTGTGTTGTAATGCATTTCCCATTTCTGTTTTGTAGAGTTTACGTATATTTAAAATTTATGTTCTGGGTGGAAGAATTTTCATAGTCTGTCTTAGGCAAGAGAAAATTTAGGAGTTGAACTGCCTGGTCCTCCCTCTGCCTTTAAAAGTGTGGCTTGAATTCCAACCTGGTGGAAAGCAATAGGCAAGAATGTCCATTTCTTTCAGAGAGGCCAGGATTTCATTCCAGAAATGAATTCTCAGACTGATGGGAAGAAACATACTGTTACTAAGATGTAGTCTAACAAAGCACTTGTTCGCTGTCAGGAGTGAAAAGTGGTTTTATCCATTTGAAACCATGGAGATTGTTTAGAGTAATAACAGTACAGTGATTTCACTGGAATTTAGTAGCTGGAACAAGCCCTTCCTGACTGTTTTAAAGTGGATTGCAATATATTTCTGGTTGCACATGACCTGCTGATAGCATGAACAGTAACTTCTTGTATCGGGCTTTGCAAAGAAGGCCCTATGGCTGCCCACGGGGTACTGGACACGCACCAAGCCTCCTGATTCTGTGTTGTTGCAGGGAGATGTAATGGCAGTGGCCGTGGCTGGAAATACTGCTGGCCATTTTTTCTATGCATGTGTGCATGTGCATTTTAAATGTGACACATCTGTGTGTGGTTTGGTTTCCTGTTCCTGGGAAGTTATGAAATACACAAAGATACTCTTTCAGCCAAACAAGGACAAGAATAATTGTATAGCATAAAACAATGCCTAGAGAAAATATTGCTATGTGTTTTATTATTAGTGTTATTACAATGTAATAGTGTGTTACATGATATTATTGAACAAAACGAGGGATATTTTATCGCAAAGACCTGTAACCATAGCTAAATAGGATATTGAGATACATAGATGTCTTGTTTCTGACAGTGTTTCTAGTAAAGCCTTATAGGCACAGAAGATGAACTTAAACTATCCTTGGACCACCCCGTGCCAGCTAAAATCTACAAACTTTATTATGGCTGGCAACAATTGCAATGTCTTAGCAAATGATTATGTTTTCCCGTCCTGTCTCCAGCATCATTGGAAGAGGAAGTAGTACAGTTTGTCACTTAAATCCAGATAATGGTAGTGAGCTCTTTTTTTCCCTTTTTTTTTTTTCTCTTTCTCTTTTGTTTGGAGCCTGTGACCTTCAACACAGCCTCTGCTGAGGATGAGGCTTTGTGAGAGGTGTTAGCCGTGACTCATTCTTTCTCAACACCTAGACACAGGTGAAAGTGTACACTACCTCTTTCACAAGCTTCTGGAATCTGAACATTGTTTCAGAATTTTTCTCACTTCTCCTGTGGCACTTCATCCATTGCACAATTACTCAAGCTTCCTTGAAGTATCAAGGAACATACAGCAATGCTATGTTTTACAAAGCTGGAAAGTTTTTAAATAACTTCCTGGTGTTTTTATTTACCTCAAAACATGTAAGTAGGAGGAACTTTTAGGATCCCTGTGGCTATCCATCATCATACTGCCCTATTCACAAATCACTCCATGGTGAAAGAATTGACTTTCACCTTTCTGGAAAGCAGATTGTGACATACCTGCTATACATGACAAGCCAGCCAAGTGAAAGGGCAAGGGCTTGCTGCCATGCCCCTGTGTTTCTTCCTAACCCCACATAGAGCTGTGGGGTTAGGAGAGACCTCACAGAAGTTGTTCATCTCCTCCAGTGCATGGAGAACTCAGACTGGAGGAGCTGTCTGACTTGTTCTGCAAAGTGTGCGGTGAGGACATCCCAAAATCCATGGGCAGACTGTCCCACTGACCAGTTAGAAAGCTTTTTCTAACATACTGCTTAACTGTTCCAAATGCTAGTTAAGGACTCTTCTGTCCTTAACGAGTGGGACTATGGTGGGTTGGCCGCAGCTGGCACCCAGGCACCCACCCAGTTGGGTGCTTGCTCCCCCCACCAGCAGAATAGGGGAGAAAACAGGAGGAACAGGGGCAAGAAACTCATGGGTCAAACTAATGACAGGGAAATCACTCACCAACTACTGTTGCATGCCAAACAGATTCAACTTGGGGAATTTAACTTAATTTATAGCTAATTAACATAAATATTTAGTTACCGAGTCCAGTAATGGGAAACAAAAAAGACAAATGTGAAAACACTTAGAGGAGAAAGTCTACCCTCTCCTTTTCCCAGGCTCACCTTACTGCAGACACCTTTCCTCCCCCTCGTCATGGCTGCATGTGACACCGAGTCCCTTCAGAGAGGCAGTGAGCAGTGCCAGGGGTTGGGGTTGGGGTCAGGACCTGGTGGTTTCTCTCTGCTGCTCCTTCCTCTTGTGCTTTTCTTCCTGTGCTCCAGAGGCTGCAGTCTGTCTGGGCGTATGCCTGCTCCCCACAGAGCATGTCTTCTTCCTTTGGCCTTGGTGTTCCCTCATTCCCTTCTCCTCCATTGAGCTGGCTGGAGATGGGCATGCCCAGCATGGGTCAGCCCCTGACCTCCTCTCACAGAGGCCACCCTGCAGCCCCCTGCTATCAAAGCTTTTCCATGGGCACCCGATGATTGATTGCTGTCCTCTATTTTAATTAACTCCTATGTATTGAAGATTGTTTAGTTCCTCCACAGGCTGCCATTTTTCTCCAGATTATCTAAATGCACTTCCTTCAGCCTTTCCACTTAGGTCTTCTTTCACTTTCTTTTGGATTCTTTCCAGTTCCTTTGTAGCTTTTGTAATATGTCAAGCCCAAAACTGAATGTAGAAGTTGGCTGAGTACTCATCTGCCTTTAGAAAATGACATCATTGCATCTCTTGCCTTACCTCAGACAGTTATTGCACATCTTTTGTTTTGCTTGTGTCTGATATGTTTCTGCTGAACTGTCTCTCCATGGCTTTTTTAATAACACTATTTATTTCTCCTTCAGAAATGCAGTGTTAAGCAAATTCTTAGTTTTGTCATGTTGATTTTGGACAATCTCTCCAGTTTGTCTAATCCATCCTGCAGTGCACCTGCCCCCCCC